AAACCGTCCAATCTGCAAAGCATCCCTGGCTACCTGGGCCCGCGCGCAGGGCCGGGTCTTTCCCCCCCTGCCCAGGTGACCAGAGCATCGCCTCCCAGGCGCCAGGCTTTTGTCTGCAGACAAGGAGCGAGATCCCCGCTGAGAGAGATTCAACAGCAGCCTCTCAGGCTGGCTGAGACAGATCTCTGGAGAGGGGCACCGACGGGGCATTTCTGCCACACCAAGGATTCAGGGGAACTTAGCTAGCAGGCAAACAAGACAGGGCCCTGGGACAAGGGGCCAGGAGATTTTAGGAGGGCTGGTTTTGTGGAGGAGTGTCTGAAATCACCTGGAAAATCAGTGCCCCAACCTACAGTCCAGCTAGTGAGGCCAGGTGCCTGAGATACCTCCTAGCTCAGTGTGCACGCTCTACTGGTTCCACAGCTGGGCAGCACACAGTGAGCAATCCCAACCGGATGAGCCAGGGGAATGCAGCAGTAAGGAGAGCCAAGGTTAACAAGCTCCTGAGAAGCTCTGGGTTTGCTATTTGCTCATGAAGAGCTCTGCAGGTTAACCTGACCCCTTACATCAAATGCAGAATGAGCAGGGGGCAGAGTGCAGTGCCTTGGCAAAACCAAATGACCTGTGAGGCACATCTTGGCTTATTCTGTTTTCTCCTTCTGTACAGATATCAATGAGTGTGTGATGCCTGGTCTGTGTAAAGAAGCTGAGTGTGTGAACACCCGTGGGAGCTTCCGCTGCAGTTGCAGACCTGGCACCATGCTGGATCCTTCCCGCAGTCACTGTGTCTGTAAGTGCTTTGGAGACTCAGACTGGCACTGTTGGAAGCAGCTGCCTGGAGTCCCTGGTAACAACTCCCTGAACTTTTAGTAAGAATCAGCAGAGCTTGAGACAGATGAAAGGCATGGAGCATGCTGTTTGTGCCTTTGTGTGCATCTTACTCAAATGGTCCCTTATGAATGTGTACCCTGGTCTCTGTGTCTGTGTGTGCACATGCACTAGGGAGTGATACCACATGTGTGTGCATTCATGGCCCCATACATAAATGTATGCATGAATGCGTATCCCAGGGCTCTCCTCCCATAAGGCTTCTTTAGCTCCATGGGGTTCTCGCTCCTTTCCTTCCCTGGTTCATCTGTGATTATGCAATGTGTAATGTCTGCAATGGAGAAGAGAGGCAACCTTAGCATGCCAGGTGTTGAAGTAAGTATATCTCAGCCCTGCCCGCTGTCTTTTTCCCTTGCCATCGGCAGCTGGCTGCATTCTTGGCATGATGACAATACTGGGATTTGACCAGGGGATGGAAATGGCCCAGTGGATCAGTGCTGGGAGGTCATCCCAAATGTGAAAGGGACCAGGGCAATTGTGAAGGAGAGCCAGATGTATGATGGACAAAAGCTGCAGTGATGTGGAAGGACTGATCCAATATGGCTCCCATTGTACTTGGCCTTGGTGAGACCGCAGCTGAAGTACTACATACAGTTTTGGGCTCCACAATTCAAAAAGGATGTGGAGAAGCTTGAGAGAGTGCAGAGGAGAGCCACGCGCATGATCAGAGGTCAGGAAAACAGACCTTATGAAGAGAGGCTGAGAGCCATGGGACTGTTCAGCCTGGAAAAGCACAGGCTCAGGGGTGATCTGGTGGCCACGTATAAGTTTATCAGGGGTGCTTACCAGAATCTGGGGGAATGTTTGTTCACCAGAGCACCCCAAGGGACGACAAGGTTGAACAGTCACAAACTCCTCCATGACCGTTTCAGGCTGGACATAAGGAAGATCTTCTTTACTGTCCGAGCCCCCAAGGTTTGGAATAGATTGCTGCCGGAAGTGGTTCAAGCACCTACTTTGAATGCCTTCAAGAGACATCTGGATGTTTATCTTGCTGGGATCCTATGATCCCTGCTGACATCCTGCCCCTGGGGCAGGGTGCTGGACTCAATGATCTTCCGAGGTCCGTTCCAGCCCTAATATCTATGAAATCTATGGAAGGCAGAGGAGCTGATAAATATGGAGGGCAAAGCTGGGAAAGACCTGAAAGTTAAGGCTAAGCTGCATCCTTTCCATTTTGATGAGTGCCGTGTTAGAGCTCTCCCTCAGGCACTAATCCTCTGTTATGTTTCAGCGGACAAAGCAGTATCCATGGAGCAGGGGCTGTGCTATCGCTCAGCAGCAGGAGGTGTCTGCACCCTACCACTCATCCAGCACATCACCAAACAGATCTGCTGCTGTAGCCGTGTTGGCAAAGGATGGGGAAGGAATTGTGAGAGGTGCCCTCTGCCTGGCTCAGGTGAGAGCTGGGCCTGTTCCAGCTTTGCCCAGCATGGTAGGCCCGGAGCTCAGGCTGCCTTTGGCTCTCACATTCTTGCAGCTCCTTTGTGCTTTTTTGATTCTCTTTCCCAGGCACCCTGAGAAGTGGGTGTGAATAGTCTGAGAGAGACTGAGCATGAAGGGCACAGGCCAGTACAGAAAGTTCTGTCCCTCAGATTGCTGGCCAGGGGCTGTGTCTGTGCAGCCCAGTTCCAGGGCTCTGTCTGTGCAGCACAAGGCATTACTGTGAAGAGATGCCCAAGCAAGCCCTGAACAAGTTAGCTCAGGTACCAGAAGCAGAGTAGCTTCTTCAAGACAGCACTCTGCAGTGACTAACTTACCCCACTTCTCTGAAGGTTATATCAGCCAGAGTGAAGCACCAGACTAATGCAGCTTTTGCCCCAGGCTAGCTTGGGTATCTCACTATGGCCCTGGGTTGTGCCCTGTACATATATCTTAGGTGACAGCAACCTGCAGCTCTGGGGATTGGGTTGGAGCAGAGCAGATTCCAGACCTGAAGTCTCTCCACAGGTCAGCAAGCTTCACAAGGAGTGGACTGAGGAAAATCTTGAGGGGAAGGGGGGACCTGGCAGGTAGCCTTCAGCAGTGCCCAGACAGCAGTGCCCTAGAAAGAGACCACCACTTTTCCTGTGTTCAGGTTGACCTGACAGTCCCTTTCATCTCTGCCTCCTCTCAAGTGAGGGCTTCCTCCTTTCCTGAAGTAATAAGAGCCTGAGGTACCAGTTGCAGGTGATTAGCACTCATCACATGTTATGTGCCACAGAGAAAAGCACAGGGTGTCAGGGGACTCTGAACAGTTTGTAATTTGTGCTTGCAAAACAACCTCAGACACACGCAGATCTCAAAGGGTCAGAATGATGAAGGTTCCCTGAAGCTTCCCTGTCCTTGCAGCTTTGCAGCCATTTATCCCTTACCCAGGCTCATCCCCTCCCACCTGCCTCTGTGCATCTGGCTTTTTCCTATAGCATTCGTAGTTGAAACGGATGGGAACCTCTTTTGCAGTGCGACCCCCTGGTAGCACTGAACCAAACAAATTCAGTTATATCAGTACCTGTAAATTCTAACCAGACTTTGTTAGAAACACAGTCAGTCCTGCAAGAAGATTCATTCTGTTGGGAACATCCACCCTTCAGACCACACTCTAGCATGGATGCAGCCCAAACATGTCCTAACTTTCATAGGGTTGCCATAGCCTAACCCTAAAAGATGGGGAAGATTGAGGCATATGTGCCTGCACATGCACAATATAGGCCTGGCCATGTCCTATAGCAGAAAACTACCCTTTCAGTTTATTTATCTTGTTGGACAAACCTGTGTGCTCTCCACTGGTTCTGCCTGCCCTCTGTGGTCTTCACAACAGCCCCTTTCCTCACCTTTCGGCCTTGGCCTGTGTTTCCCTTGCAGAAGCCTTCAGGGAGATTTGCCCGGCAGGGCATGGCTACACCTACTCCAGCTCTGATATCCGTCTGTCCATGAGAAAGGCCGAGGCAGAAGAGCTGTCCTTCAGCTCTGAGGAGGAGGGGAAGAGCAGCAACAAGACATCTGGCTGGACAGCAAGAACGCCACAGCTGCAGGAGAGTCCTAGGGGTGAAGGCACAGGTACCATGCCCAGTGCTGGCACCTCAGTGGGAGAGGGTTGATGAGGCTATAACTGAGCATTAGTAGCCACTGTGCCTATGGGTAGGAGTCCATGAATTTTCCATTGCAACCTTCCACCTGTTCTGCCCAGTGACTGCTTTTGGCTGAAGAGGAACTAGGTGCAGCTCCACAGCTCTGAGAGGTGCTCTTTTGCCCCTGGCCTCCAAGGTTAAAGGAAATGACCTGTTTAGAGCTGTCAGGCCCTGAGAAAAATGGGAGGTTTGGAGTTCCAGACTCATGGACCAACTGCCCCAAAGTGATGTTGTTGCTGAATGGCCAGGCAGCTCCAACCTAGAAGCTACAGTGACTTCAGGTGTGGCCTGTTGGGTGGGCCTGTGGGTCCAGGTGGGCTTAGTGCCAATTGTGTATCCCTGGGTAGTAATCCTGCTGCACTGCAGCCCAAGAGGGATGGAGCTGTTATCAGAATGCATCTGTGCTGGTGCTGTTTGAAGAGCTGGGATTGGGGAAGCTCAGCACATTTGCTCTTGTTCTGGAAGGAACAGGAAACAGTGTTAAGGCAGAGATGGTTCCCTGGTGGGCAGAGGGTGCTGAGTGTCTTGCTCCCAAACCTACCATGCGCTGTTTTGTTTTCCAGGTTCCTCTCCAGATGTGCAGGTGAGCACAGGTCGTGCTGAGAGGGGTGGGGTGCATTTATGACCAACTTCAGGGGCAGGAAATTTAACCCTCATTATTTAAAGGCATGAGAAGGAAACCCTGACCATGGCTGAGTTGGAGCAGTGAGGGGTAAGGACTGAGCCTCTATAGGGTAGAGCTACTGACCAAAAGTTCACCAAAGTCCTGCCATAGGCAGATAAGCATGCTGACAACCAGGCATTGATACCTACCCCAGACCTACTTCAGGATTTGAGCATCAGCATTTGCACTCCCCACTTTGGTCTGCTGAGGTAGCGGGGCAGGCAGCTGACACTGCCCTGGAGCTAGCCAGGGTGTAGAGAGGGTTTTTCCCTCCAGAAGAGATTTGGGAGTTCTGTCTGACATTAAAACTTTAAAAGCATGATATCAAGGCAGCTTGAAAACACAAAAACAGGTGCTGTGCCTCCTCTCCACTCCCCCCACCCCCAATTTTTTTTTCTTATTTTATGAAGAGATTTGTTCAGAGATTGATATTTCTATTTTTGACTTTAGTAATTCAAGCCCTATCATTCCTTAAATCTCCTGTGACCCCACACCCAGACCCCCTGTCTCAGTATTTCCTAGTCTTCAGTGTGTTTATCCCCACAGCATCAGGGAAGGTGAGGAGATGCCATTATCTTCATTTTCAAGATGAGGAGCTGAAGCACAGAGAGGCAAAGTGACTTCCCAGCATTTCACTGGAAGTCTGTGGCTTGAAACCATCCCCCAGGCTAGGATGCTAACCACCTCCTCCCTAGTTCAGGCTTTCCCTGAAGATTAGATAATTAGTGAAAGGCTGACTGTCCAAGAGCCAGGAAGGTGAGAGCTGAGCTATGGATAGGAGAGGGAGCTTTAGGCAGACTACTTAAAATCGCTTTGGTTTGTTACTGTTAACACCTACTGAATGTCACTGATTGATTAACATTCTGAATAAAGGAATCTTTTGCTAAAATTTAGTACTCTGCACCCCTTCAAAGGAGGTGTTAGGACTTTCAGTAAGTACCCCCTACATTTCCTTTAGGGAAAACATATTTGACTTCACTGACAATCCTTTTGATGATTTCTGCCAAAGAATTGTTTGCCCAACTCAGGTTCTGAGGGCATGATAGATTTGTCACCATCACAGAATTAGACAGGCCCCCTTTGAGATTACTGAAGTATGCAGATACCTCACCCTGAGATGCATAACTGTAAAGTAAGACTGTGGGAGGGATTTTGAGGAAATGGAACACAGAAATCCAGAAGGGCCGTATGTGAGGCTAGCACTTTGTTTAAGACAGCGATTTACAACCAGGGTGCCACTGGAGCACCGTGTAGTGCTAGCATGGTTAGGTGTGCATACATGATTCACAAGACAAACCCAGAGATTTCAAATAGGAATCCACAGTGTCAAAAGCATTCTGCCCTGCTGTGGCCTTTCTGAGTTCTTTGCAATAGAAGAATTGATCTAGTATTTTTCCGCAGTCAAAAAATGAGTAAAAACTAAGAGCTGGCATTTTCCTGGGGGGGAGGAAGGGGGCTTGAGTCTATGAGAGGTGCCTGGAGTCTAAAAAGGTTGAGAACCACTGGTTTAGGATCACGCTCAGCACTGAGGCATTGACTATGGCTGACCACCAGCAGCAACTTCACCTCCTGTTACAGTGCCCTTAATATGGAAGGGCAGTCAGCACTGGGCAGGTCTCTTCTGGTAATGACAGAAGTTTATCTCCCAGGGAAATTGCCTCTTGGCCAAGGACATCTCTAAGGGGTTTAATAAGAGCTAAATTTTATATTTCTCACCCACAGGGCACTGCTGATGCCACCCCAGAGCCTATGGTGTACACTGGTGAGTACCTAGCTGGCATGTGATCAAACTGTAAATAGAGAAGAAAGAAGGGGACAAGAGTTGTTTCATTGGATAGTCTTGGGGCATGCAAAGGTAGATGTATTATGTGCTGCCTGATTTCTTAATTCATGGATGGGCAACTTGTAGCATGTATGCCACAAATGACATGGGCAGCCTTGATGTGTGGTATGTGACAGATTGGGGATGAACCAGGCAGCACACTGGCAGATAGGACAGGGAGCAGATCAGGCAGAGAGCACAGGGCAGGGAGCAGAAAGCAGAGCAACAGATTGGGCAGGGGAAGGAGATTAGAGTGTTACTTGGAGAGGATTCAGGGCTAATTTGTGTCACAACTGACAAAAAGGTTGCCCCCACTGTCCTAGTATATTGCGTCAAAATGGTAGTGTTGCATGGAAGTGCTGGGTTGTGGGCTGGGAAGGGCTGCTGGAGTGCCTCTAGCATGGGAGGATGGGGATGAGGGGGCTGTAGGGCCGAGCTATGATTAAATGGATGGGCAGAGCCATTTCTTCAACCTCAGGCAGGGGCTTAGCATTCTGTTTGCACTCAAGGTGGGCTCCAGAACAGCCAATGGAGTCCTATATCCCCAACAGGCAGCCATAGGCTGTCTGGCTGTGCTGTGTCTACTGAGTAATGTGAACGAGTCTGGATTCAATGACAAGATTGTCTCATGATATCATTGTAGCAACTTGGATCTTGGCCGCAGAGCTAGGGCCTGACCCCGACACCTGCACTTTCCCACCTGCTCTCTTCACATGGCCAGATCACACAGGCATGGGGACTCCTGTCTCTAGTTGACACTTGTTCCCATGCCTGACCACACACTTGTGCAATTTTACCTTTTGTTTTTAGCTGGTTTAAAATGAAAGTTTAAAAAAATATCTCTTTCATCTGTAGCAGAGGAGGTCTCCCCTTACCTTCCTGCCCAGCCAGGCCATGACACTGAAGGGGAGGACACTGTCCAAGAGTTAACAGCAACACAGATTGCAGGTCCGTCAGCTAGAGCTGCCCTGCCTATAGCTCTCAGACCTGCTGCCGCTGTCAGGTGCTAAGGATAAATGTGACCTGAACTCACTGTAGAAACGTCCCCCCTTCCCATTCCCTGCAAGTGACATTGGCATGTCCAGCCCTGGAGGATTCCCTTGGAAGATCCAGACAGCTGCCCAGGGGTGTGAGAGAGCGCTCCTGTCCAAAGAACAGATCATTTGGCTCTCAGCGCCCTCTCCCATCTGCATTCAGTTTGTCTAATGCAGGGTGGTAGTGACTCCCAGGGAAGGGGAATCACGCGGTCTCTGCAGTGGCTTTGGCATCGTTCCTGCTGCAGCGAGAGTTGAGTCATCTGGATGTTGTAGTGGAAGGGGAAGTATGTGGCTCCCAGGGGAGGCTTGTTTACTTCGTAGATAATAGCAGCTCTGTTGTTCCAGGATTGCCTAAGTGTCTGGGAGTGCTGCCTCTGCCCCTCTGGAAGCACCTTTGGGAGACCCCCTGGCATAGTCACCTTGCTGTGGAATGTGCTTCCCTCAATAGCCTTTTGTTTGATTGTGGGTTTGGCAATGGAACTGTCAAAGTGCTTGGGGAGAGAGTGAGGGGGTCTGTCTTTGGTGACCTCCTCTTGTTCCTTGTCCCTCCACCATTCACTGACCCCAGCTAGAGGCAGCAGAAATAGAAGCAGTTCACAAGTAGCCCTCAGGGGCCTGCCATCAAATGAAGCCCCCCTTGAATGTGCTTGCCCTGCTCTCTTTTCTTTCTCCTTCTGGTTACCAGGCTGCACAGGGGAGCCTTATGCCTGCAGAAGCCTTACAAAGCTGGTGTTCTGTTTTTATCCTGGGTCTCTGAGGACTTCCCATATTCCATGGCTGGGGCTAGGGCTGGGGCTGGTGAAACTGGAGACTCACGTTCTCAGCATCCTGCTTTCCCTTAGCTCAGCAGTGCTCATCAGGAAGGATCTGGAGGCACAGGAAAGCCATATCCTTCCCCTAAGCCCATTCACAATGGCTGTCTTGAGGCACAGGAGAGAGACTGGCCATTGTTTTGGCTTCTGTCTGTGAAGTGGGGATGGTGCAGGTGGTTTGGCTGAGAGATTTCTGTGTGCAGGGCTGTGGAAGAGGGAAAGTCTTGGGAGAGTGGGGAGCTGGAGCCCATGCCAGTCCCAGCACTGACCCTTCCCTGTCTCCATCTCAGAGATCGATAGATGTGCTGCTTTCCCCAGAACATGTGGCCCAGGCAGCTGTGTAAACCTACCAGTCGGATACACCTGCTTGTGTGACCCTGGCTACCAGCTACATCCCAGCCACCCCTACTGCATTGGTATGTTAGTGTCTCTGCTGTTTCTTGAGGGGAGAAGCCAGAGGGAAGACATCACTCTAGAGTTCATCTCAGGAGGCAGAGAGCAAGTCCTAGCCAGGCACAAGGGTGAGAGGCTGGGAAGTACAAGCCCCAAGCTGACTCCTGGGTGTGGAGCCTTGCTGAGCCAGGGCCCTGCCAGGGGACTGCCCAGGGCACAGCCCAGCCTGCCAGACTGGATCACACAGGGGGACTTGTGCTGGCCTGAGAACATTTTCTAGGAAAATTGCTCTCCTATGTGGCAGAGGGTTGAAGGGTAGAACTTTTGCTCTTCTTCCAGTTGTGCAGATGCTTCCCTCAGAGTTGTGTAGCAGACCAAAGGGTCTTCCTGGTCCATGTGATGCCCTGGCAGGTGTCAGCTAGCAGAAATTCTGAGTGGGCTGAGAGGAAAGGAACCCCAGGGCACCTGCTCACATTATGAGGACTGGAAGGGAGATGGCCCCAGGGATAGCTGTAGGAGTAGGGGAGCTACTGGTGACCCTGCCCTTTTCTCTGTACCCAGATGATGACGAGTGTTTGAGAGATCCCTGTGCAGGGAAGGGTCAGTGCATCAACAGCGTGGGCTCCTACTCCTGCCTCTGCTTCTCAGGCTATACTTCACTTGCCTCCCAGGACAGACAGACTTGTCAGGGTATGTTATGTGTCACCTGGCACTACCTACTGTCCATACCCCAGCTAGAGGGAGGGAAGGGGAGACTTTGCCTAAAAGCTTCATTTAACCTCCCTCAGTTTCATGTTTCCTGGGTAATGAGGAGTCCTGTCTTCATATAATACATGCCAACATGCTCCTCCTTCCACCTTCCCTGAAAGGATCCCTCCCTCTGAGGGGAATGGGCACTGCATTCTCCTTGCTACCTTCTTCAGTTCTCCACAGGGCAGGGAGCTACACAAGCTGAGGGAATGTCTCCAGAGTAGAAAGCCACATGTAGCCAAGCGTTTTCCTCCAAGAAACCTGGAGACTAGTCTGGTCCCATGGGACAGGGATGTTGAACCTACTTTACTCATCTGCTGCATTCCTCACCCTGTGTCCCAGGGTGGGAGGCCATTCTCCAGTTGTCCTTCCCCTGATAACAGTGTAAGGGGAACAGGACCTCATCAAAATGTCCTCTCCTGTTATTGTGGAGAATTCCTGCTACTGTTCTGTGTTTGTGATTAGCATGACCCTTTGCTGAGTAAATAGGAAGCCTTTGTCTCAAATACCTGCAACCTGACATAACATATAGAGATGAAGAACAGGAGCAGGGAGGGGCTTAACCAAGGCAGGGCAAGAATGTGCATGACTTGGGCTTGGGGGACTCTGGCCATGCACCGATCCTGGCAGTGCCATTCCTTGTGAGTGGCATATCATGGCAGAAATTGGCTCCAAGCAGGGATGTGATTGAGAGGAGGAGAGTATGCATACAGAGGGTTTGGGAGTGGAGAAGGGAGGCCTGAACTCTGTCAGACAGGCAGAGCCAAGAGCACACCCAGCAGCTCAGCTCCAGCAGCCCTGGCCCAGCCCAGTTCACTGAAGGGACACAATGCTGCACCTTGACAGATCAGGATGAGTGTGAGCAGCCCAACGTATGTGTGTGGGGGCAATGCATCAACATTCCCAGCTCCTACCACTGTGAGTATGACGAGGGCTATGTCCTGAGCCAGAGAGGGCAGTGTGAAGGTGAGTGTGCTAACCTCCCTTCCCCCATGGGAGGAGCTTCTGCACTAGTGCCAAACACCTCCCATCACCAGCAGTTCTAGGCAAAGGGAAAGGCCTTGCAAATTCTCACCCTGTTGGTTCAGCCAGGCACTTCCCCTGACCCCACCTGCCCCCTCTGCCTGTGGGATGCCCCACCCTGGTGTAGGAGAAGGGAACTCATTCTCCCCATATGTTCCCTTTGAGGCTTGGACCCTCAATGGATGTCCAGTCCAGTCACAAGAGGACTTGTCTTGAGCTAGAAAGGGAATGCCTTTTGATCCTGGAGAAGAACATAAGAATGCCATGCTGGGTCAAACCTATTTTGGACCCCAGATTGGCAAGTACATGGATCCCATAATGTGTACATGGCTGTTTCCAGTGCCTCATAGTTGCACTGCTAAACATCCCACCAGGGGTAGGACACAAGACAAATAAATTATAATGGGGCTCATGAAAACCCCAGGAAGCTCATCACACTGATGAGTCCTTCCTTAGGCATCACGGTCATTTCTCCTGGAGGTGAAATGAAGGGAACTCTTGGGTCCCACCTGCAGAGGACACTTTCACTGGGCCTGTACTTTGTACACCTCTGTGTACACCTCTGTTCCAGGAACTGACAAAAGCATGTTTCCTTGCAGATGTTGATGAATGTGCTGACCCCAGAACCTGCCCCACCAGGAAGTGTGTCAACACACTAGGCTCCTATGAGTGTCTCAGCTGTGCAGATGGATACCAGGCAGTGAATGGGAGATGCATTGGTAAGAAGCCAAGAGCTGCTTTCAGCAGGGGCCCAGTTCAACTCCTGGAAGCTCCCTCTTGCACTTAGAGCCATATGCCATTCTGTGGTTCTAATGTGCCACTACCCTGGGGCCTGTAATAAGAGTATGGGTAGGTGCCATGAGTCTTTCTGTAGTGAGGCAAGAGTCTGTCCCCTGAACCCTTTCCTGGGTTGCACAGGGTAGCCCTGGGATTATGTCCCAAGAGATTTCTGAGCACTGCAGCTTATGGTTTGACCCATTCCCCTCTGCATTGTCATGCAGATGATGATGAGTGCCTCTCCAAGAGGACCTGTGCTCATGGACTGTGCATCAACCTTGATGGTTCCTTCAGGTGCTCTTGTTACCATGGCTATGAGGTGACAACTGATGAGAAGAGCTGCCAAGGTATTCAAGCCTGTCACGGAAACCCTTGGGCCTGATCTGACTCCTACTGGAGTCTGCAGTATTCCTTTCATGAAGTGCAATGTCATTTACCTTGAGATGTTCCTGAGTACATGGTCCTGCTGCCAGTAACACCTACCCAGTCCTCATAGCTAGGTTTTGAGATTCTCATTATTCCTCATTATTGATCTGTGCCCCTCAATGCAGGTGGAAGTGTGAGAGGAAACCCTTTTTCCTCCCAAGCTCACAGACCCAATTCCTTCTCCTCTCCCTGTCCGGCTCTCACTCTGGGTTGTGGGTTTATATAGATATCAATGAATGTGCGACCCGCAGCACCTGCCTCTTGGGACTCTGCATTAACACTGAGGGCTCCTTCTCCTGCATGGCCTGTGATGCTGGCTATGCCATGTCCAAAAATGGCAGCACATGTGAAGGTATCTTCCAGGGCCTGATGAGTGGATCGCTCTGGTGGGGAAAGGGACCACGCTTGCAGGCAATTGGTGGGGCCCAGGGCTAGAACCCTTCACCCTGTGTGGAACTCGTGGCCAGATTGTGGTTGTAACCAGCCTCACTGAGGCTAAGTCTGTGGCCTTGTGTCTTCATCTCTCAGCAGTGACCTGTGCTGGAGTCAGAGCCCATATTTCTGAAGCAGCTCCAGTCCAGCTTCCTGTGACAAACCCCACTGAGTCCGTCCATGGGGGAAAGGGTCTGCCTAGGAATCCTGGTTCAGTTTTTCAGTTTGTGGGCTGTGCAGATCAATGGGGAGCTAGAGAGAGCTTCAGGGAAAAGTGACCCCAGGACCAGACTGGCAGGGATTGGACAGGGACTTCTGTAGGGGTCTGAAGCTCTTGTGAGTTGCGGTGTGGACCTGGAGGACAGAATCAGACCCTTCAGGCAGGGTTGGGCTCCAGTGGGGGAGCAGAGTGGGGACGTCATCTACTTCACCCCAGATGGAGCTCCAACATCTGCTCTCCCCAGATATTGATGAGTGTACCTTGCCTACTGCTTGTCCCTTGGGAATCTGCACCAACACAAATGGCTCCTTCACCTGCCAAGCCTGTGATGCTGGCTACACTCTCTCCTCCCACAGACGTGCCTGTGAAGGTAAGTGGCCCCCACTGCACTCTGCCTTCTCCACTCCCACAAGCAATGTCTGCAGGTCAGGCAAGAGTGAATGTGCAGTAAGGTCTAGCTTCTGGCAGTCATGTCCCAGCTTGTACCCACTCTCTTGTACTCTGTATTGTCTCCTCAGGGATGGGTTGCATCACCATCTCTGATCACACATTAGGTTAATTTAGCCCTGTCCACCAGCAGTATATGAAGTTTAGTGGGGTGACTTGAAGGTGCTGAAGGGAATGATCTTATCCGAGAAGGGCTGGCAGATCATGGGATTTTCAGGTGATACTAACTTGGGAGAACCTGCAAGCCACACTGGGAGCTGAGTCATAACAATAGGTCCAGAGACATTAGAATTTCTGGCAGGGAACAGCACAGTGAGATTAATCTTAGAACAGCACAACTCATACGTCTGTAGAGAATTATCCCAACCCAGATCTCAATAGGCTGGAGAAACTTTGGAATCAAGAATGGTAGACACAGGTGGCAGTGAACCAGGAATTTCTGACTCAGTGTGGAATCAAATAAGGCCAGGCTGGGAATGGAGGCCCTGAGGTACCATCTGGGAAAGATGGACTAGTCCTGCTCTGCTGTGCAGTTCTCATGAATGCTGTCGTAGGCACCTTTTGGAAATGAATTGGAGAAAAGCAATCAAACTAATCAGGGGCTGCAGAGACTGACCAACAGGAGACAAGTAAAATGTGCAAAATGAGTCTAGTTTGGCTAAGCTGTAACTATTGAGTCAGGGAGACCTGTTTAGAGTTTAGAGTGATCTCAATGTGCAAACACAGCTGAGAGTTTGAGGGTTACAAAGTAACTAGCTAAAAGTGCAATAAGCAAAAATATTAACCAAACCCCATGACACCCAGTGCAAAAGAGAAGGTAGGCCAAAGGACAATGAAGCAAAAAGGCCCCCTATTCAAAGCACAAAGCACTTTAGCTTTATAGAAGTTTAAAATAGGTTATGTTAGTCCCCTTGAAGTCAACAGGACTGCTTCTCTCCTACAATATTTTGCTAGGTTTGGGGTTACTCACATGCCTAAAGTTAAGTACCTGCTTAAGCATTTGCAGAGTCAAGGCCAGTAATAATAATTAGGAGGAATGGAGAAGAGAAAATGCAGGCTCAGCCTCAGGCAGAATTCCCTGAATTCAAACCCTAGAGGAATTACCCTGGTAATTGTTAAACTTATCATTGTTAATTGTTCCATTCCAAGCCTCTGTGGTAGCTTGGGTATGCTTAAAAAGAAAAGCATAGCTCAAAAGCTTTTGCTGTGTTATGGGCAAGTGACATGGGAGAGACCTGTTCTCACAGGAGTTTATATTAGCTACCTTACAAGTGTCAGAGAACGCCCTGCCCACCAGCCTTTTACTGCCAGAGGCACCAGGGCAGGTTCTGGAAGAGCCACATATCTGCAGCAATGTTACCTTGGGAGTGAGTGACTGAAGGTTTAACTTGTTAGGCTGCTTGTTGTATCCTTTTACCCAGCCCCCAGTTGTACCAACCTCTGAGAATGAATGAATGAACGAATGAATGAACAAGCCCCATACAAATTATCTCAAATAGTAGTTCTGTATCTCCTGACAGCTGAGACTGCAGCCTGCCACAAACACAAGTATGTGCTGTCTTCCACTACATCTACCCTCTGTTCCTCCTTTCTACTGATATAAATGTTGCTTCCTAGACTCTGATGGTTAATAGTGGGTCTTAAACCTGTCCCTGGGACAATACCTGTACTTGGTCTGCAGCAGAGAATTTGGAGTGGGGGTTGTGGGGCAGGGAGGGAGGGATTCTAGGCAAAGGAAGACACATTTTGGTGGCAGGTTTTGTTTTTTGGTGCTGATTTGAAGCTGTTCAGAACTTTAAAAGTTGGAGCCCAGCCAGTGATGAATCAGCAGGCAGAATGCTGTTGTGAGCAAAGGTGTGTGATAAAAATGCCTTGGAGAAGAGCAGGGAATGAAAGTCTCACTCTCTAAAGCTGTAGCTTCTTAGGTGACCCTATAGTAGAGCCCATAAGAATCTTATGTTCATTGTTGATAAATGAACCTGTCACGTAGAGGCTCTCCTTTATCAGGTTTCTGGGGCTAATCTTAGTGGCAGGAGGTTTGCTGTATTTGCTGGTTGTAGGGAGGGAGAAAGTGACTGGCCACTTCTCTTTTTCCTGTGGGTTAATGTCTGGATCTGTGGATCTGAGACACTCAGTAGAAAATGAGGTTATTTTTCCATCCTCCTGTTGCAATAGAAAGGCTGCACATTCTGTTCAGCTCTGAGCTAGTCACATGACATGACTGACTCACACATGGGTCTTTCCCATTGTGCTGCTTCCCCTCGTTCACTGCTGGGCCAGCTGGGGAGGGAGCACCAAGGAAATGTTATCAGAGGTATGGTGCTGTTCAGGAGGAGCTGGTCCACTGACAGAAGATCCTGTCCCTCTCTCACCAGCCCCATGGGCTTGTCTCCTCTGGAACATGCTGGTTGTATTTGAAGAAAGATAATGGTTTCATGGGAGTTCTGTAATAAATAACCTAGGCCATGGATCACCTCTCAAGGAAAGCAGTAGGATCCCTAGTGCCTGGGACATTTGGAAATTGAATGTGGTATGGAATGATCATACCTTGAGGCATAAACAAATGGTGCCTGTTATAGGTCCAGTACAGAGGACACTGCAGACAGAAAGACCAGGCCCCTGCCTTGCCCTGAAGTGCTTCTAGTTTCACCGTTGCCATCTCTCAGTTCTGTGAATGGGATACGAATGGAGCTGTCAAGGTGGGGAATGACATTTGTGACCTCTGCAGCCTGTGCGCTGGTTCTGGCAGGGGAGTCAGTCCTTCCCTCTGATTCATGCTCCTTCAAACACTGCTGTACCAGACAGCCTGCAAGAGCAGTGGAAACAGAGTTTCCCTTAGGGAGCCCAGGGTTTCACTCATCTGCTGGGCTGATTGGAGGAAGGATGGGAGCGATGAAGGCTGAGAGATGACTTCTTCCCTTAGCCCTTGCCTGGCAGCACTTGAGGCAAATCACAGTTTCCAAAGAGGCAGGTGAACGGGAAGGCCCTGTGTGACAGGGGTGGTGAATCCTTGACCTACAGCTGGGTCTCAGGAGTGGGCAGGGTTACACTTAGAAATCCAAGTCTGTTTCCTCTCTTATTTTCCTCCCTTTTCCCAGTTATGACTCTCTCTCTTCAGTCACCCTTCAAAATTTTCACTCCCTGGAGTTAACATTCTGCAGATCACTGAAGCCTACTGGCCTGTCACCCTTCACTTAGGACAGGACAGGTTTGGTGCCTTTGGTCTTTCATTATTGGCAAAACCCTTAGAGCATTGATGACCACTGAGGAAGGGCCAAGAAAGGTCAGTGGTGGGCTGGTAATGGGGAGCCAGTGGAGTCTGCAATTGAGAGAGGATTCAGGTATAGGTACCTTCCAAGGAGGCAGAAGGGTGAGGCAGCTTAGGAAGTGGAGATGGATGTTGAGGAACTTCACCAACACACTCTCTTGTGCAGCCTGCTCAGGAGCAGGAGTTTTGCTGGCAGCATACTCATGGCTGTTCCTTCTCATGCTTCTCTGGTCTCCTTCCAGGCTGCAGGACTGAGGTGCTCAGCACTGAACTGCACTGGGCATAGACCCAGGAGCCTGGGCTGTGGATTTGGTTGGCTTTGGATTCAGTCAGATCTGAGGTTGAGCACCAGAGTTCTGAGGGGGTGCTGGGTGGAAGATGCTGGGGTAGTTCCTTCCTCAAGGCACAGTAATCTGCGTCTTCCCTCTGCACTTTATGGTGGGTGCAGCCCCAAGCATGCTGTGCAGCTTTGCCACAAGGAAGGTCTCCAAACAGCAAGTGATTGTTACCTGCCTGGGCGGGCAACTGACCTTGGCCCTGACTCTTATTACTATGTCTCTCTGCCTGGCCAGACATTAATGAGTGTGAAGACCCCACAACCAGCTGCTTGGGAGGAGAGTGTCTGAACACTTTGGGCTCCTACACTTGCCTCTGCCAGGCTGGATTTGAGCTTATCAATGACACCATTTGTGAAGGTATGAGCCCCATCAAGGCCTGCCCATTTCACTCCCCTTTAGGACCCTTCATAGCATCAACTGGGTAGTCTCACTGCTGTCCAGGTGGGAGGGGTCCCAGCATTCTGGGTGCTGCCTCAGAGTATTAGCCAAACAAAAGGTCACTCAGACATGGGAGAAATTTGGAGGGGCTGCCCTGTACCCATAGTGAAGTGGCTGGTTAGGGCTATAAGCCTTCCCAGGCCTGCCCTGGATGGATTGGTTGGGGGGCCTCCTTGGTTGCCATACTTGTCTGGTTGCATGGTGCTCTGTTCCCTTTGCAGACATGAATGAATGCCTGAGTAGCGGGATCTGCAGCCCCTATGGCCAGTGCCTGAACAGCCATGGATCTTACTTCTGTATCTGTGATCCTGGCTTCTCCAATGAAGCTGGGGGAGTCAGCTGCCAAGGTGAGGGGCTGGGGACAAGGCAGTATGATGGGAAGGGCTTTGGACCCTGACTCTGCCTATCCCCAGCTCTCCTCATTCACTCTCTTCCCCTGACCATGGCCTGGCCATGGCAACTCCTTGAGTCCCTGGCCAGTGGCACAGAGATCAGTGCACACCAGCCATGCAGGCTCCATGCTGACTCTTGGTTCTTCCCTGCCAGATGTGGATGAATGTGCAGACAAGTCCAGGTGCCTGCAAGGCCAGTGCCTGAACACAGAGGGCTCTTACAGATGTTTGTGTGAAAGTGGTTTCAAGCACTCACAAGAAACTGATGACTGCATAGGTAAAAATCGCTGAACTCTGGTGAATGTGAGGCTCCCACATGGATCACTGGGATACCACTGGGGGCTCTTTTCCAGTGCAGAGATGCCTTGGGAGGACCCACATACCCCTTCACTCCTGTTCCAAGCTATGTTGTTTCTTCCACTCCACTTTGCCCTTGGAGGAATTCATTCAGCCTACCACCCCTGTATCATGATGACAGAGGAAGCCCCAGGCCTCCAGTAGCCTTGTGTGGGGAGGGGTTATTTGTCCAAAGGCCCAGTGTGGTTTGAACTTGGTTGCCCCAGTGTTTTCCCCTGGGTTTGTGGGGTCCCATCCTGATCATCCTTTCCCTTTTTTCCTCCGTTTTCTGGACTCGTCATCCCTGGGAGTCAGATGTGAATGAGTGTGAAGAGTATGGGGAGTCCGTGTGTGGCACGTGGAGGTGCCAGAACACTCTGGGCTCATACCGCTGCATCATGGGCTGCCAGCCTGGCTTCCACCGGACCCCGGAGGGCGACTGCATTGGTGCGTACAAGGCTGGAGGGGCTGCTGCAGGCTCACTGGGCTGCAGAGAGCTGCCCCCACCAAGAGCAGGACGGATCCAACATCCAGGTCTGCTGTTGGTGGTGGGGAGGAGGAGGAAGCACTTGGCCAGTGCAAGGGTAGATAGTGCAGCCAGGAAAACAAGCACTCAGTATTATCTGCTCATGTCTAGACGTTTCTCGTCCTGGCGTTTCATAACAGACGCTGTACTGTGCTGCTTTTCCTCTCCGGGAGAGTTCTTGGGAGGTTACAGCATACTCCAGGCCTAGGATCATGTTCCAGTGCTGGAACCCCCGAAGAGGCAGCTGCCTGCTGGGGTGCCTGGCTGTGCCTCCCTCTCCTGGGGGTGGCTGGGTGGTAGGGGCTATGCTTGGCTGTAAAGTCTTGATGGCTCCACTCTGTGCTGGATGCATGCAGCTCCCCCTGCTGAGCCCCAGGGGCTGAATTTAGAGCTCCTGACACAAGGCAGCTTTGAAAGGGAAAACTGCCAGGGCTTAATCGTGCACTTAGAAAACCGCCCAAAAGCTCATAAGATTGTGCAGGGAAGTGGAGGTGGCCTGCATTAGCACCTTGGCTTAGTGCCCACCAAAACCAGCTCCTGGGAGGGCTGAGCTGCAGACATGCAGCTCCCCCACCCACAGCAAGGGTGGGGGAACTAGGCCCTGCAGCAGTGGGGGAGGAATTTGAAGGCCCTTCCCTCTGCCCCTTGCTGGGATCTGCAATGCCCCACCCCTGAAACTTCCTAGCCTTAGGGTATCCTAGGGGGTTCCAGTGTAGCTAAAGGCTGGTGAGGGGTCTAGCAAGTCCCCTGTCTAAGCCCAAGAAGCTACCATGCCAAGGGTGTGGGTGCTACTGGGCCATATTTCACCTGAGTGTAGGCTCTGAGCATCTCTGAGCATGGCGCTGCATAGCTCAGTGTGTGGAACTGTGAGGGAGAAGATGTGTAGTAGACGGCAGCCAGCGAGGAAGTTGGGATCAGAGTGCATAGTCGTTCTGCCTGTCTGTGGGCTCCTGTGCTCTTGGTGTTGCCTGCTCCTGAGAGGTTTAGGAGCATCCTGGGGTGGGTGGACTCCAGGGCAGTGGCTTGGGAGAGGCAGGCTCTGTACTGATCTCTGCCCTCCTGGCTGTTGCAGACATAGATGAGTGTGCCAATGAGACACTGTGTGGGAACCACGGCTTCTGCGAGAACTCAGATGGCTCCTTCCGTTGCCTCTGTGACCAGGGCTATGAGAATTCGCCCTCGGGGCTCCTCTGTGTTGGTAAGAATTTCCGGGTGCCTCTGGCTGATGCCTTCATGCTACCTCCTGGGGCATCTAGGTCCAAGCTCCCTCTGAACTGCATGGAGCAGGATCTCCACACCTCCTTCACGGTGGGGTGGCTGAGAGAAGGTCAACCTCCCCACTCCCAGCGCCCTTTTGCTCCCTTGTAGGGCTAGTCCCTTGAGCTCTCTGGCAATGAAGCACATGTACAGGTGAACAGGCCTTTGATAAGGGGAAAGGAGCTTCCAGATGCACCTCTAGGGTGTGGAATCTTTTGCCAAGCAGGTGGATGCAGGAGCAGATCAGAGACACTTGCTCTGGGGGTGGAAAATGGGTAAGAGAAGCACCTTGCACTGGGATAGGGGGCAGGTGATGGTGGGTGGGTTTGTTTCTGTTGCTCTGTGCACCTGTTGGAAGGCAGTGCCAATTGTGTCTTGGGGGCCAGCGCAGACTGAGTTTCCTTGCTCTGTGGCCAGACTTAGCTCAAGTGGATCTCCTAGCCATTCCATAGGGTAATCCTGCTTCATTGCCAGGGAGTTCTCTTGATGTTCAGGACTGTGCAGACCATCTGTGGGCTCCCTCCTGTTGTGGAAAGGCAGCCCCATAGGGACAAAGAGCAGCAGTGACACTTGGGGCATAGAAGCAGCCACAGCTCTGCTGAATAAACCCTTATATCATCTGGGTCCTGTGTTGCAGATGTGAATGAGTGTGAGCTGATGGTAGCTGTGTGTGGGACTGCACTCTGTGAAAACGTGGAGGGATCCTTTCTGTGCCTATGTCCTAGCGACCATGAAGAGTATGACACGGAGGCAGGGCACTGCCAGCCACGGGCAGACATGGGTGAGATCTGGCTGGGACAGGGGTAGGACACTGGCACAGCAGTGCCACCTGAGTTGGCATGGGTGAGATCTGGCTGGAGGGAGGGAGCAGGGTGCTGCCAGGATAGTGCCTGCCATGATGTGGTCTGGGTGAGATCTCATTTGAGTATGTCCTGGGAGTAGGGTGATGTTGCTGAGGGCTCCAGAGCTTCACACATCTCTGCTGCCCCCAGGGGACCCAGAGATGCCCATGGCAGCACTCAGCAGCAGCCTGGAACGCAAGGAGTGTTACTACCACATCAGCGATGTTCAACTGTGTGACAGCGTCCTGGCCAAGAACACCACCAAGGAGGAGTGCTGCTGCTCTCTGGGGGCAGCCTGGGGTGACAACTGTGAGACCCTCCCCTGCCCCATACCAGGCACAGGTAGGGTTCTGGCCCGAGCACTCCCTTCCCTGAGCCCAGGCAAGCATTGTATTTGCTGTGTCCCAACTAGTCAGAATAATGAGCTACCTGTTTGTCTTTCCCCCCTCTCTTCTTGGGTGTTTTGCCTTTTTCCCATCGTGCTGGCCAGTGGAGTACCGAGAGATCTGCCCTGCTGGGAAGGGCTATATCCCTGAAGGAAGAGCTCTGCCATTTGGACACGTGAGTTACACAGGTACCAGATCCTTTTCCTCTCTCCTCTCCATCAGGGGCTGACTAAAATCATGGGGTATTGCACTGAGAAGTAACTTGTGGGGCCAGCTATCCCACAGAGCTGGTGGTGGCAGGAAGAACATGAATCTCTCTTAGCATCAAGACTGAACTGCCCCTTCCATTGGGAGCCCATTGTTTGGGTTGCTCCTAACTCTGACTCCCTCTGAGCTGACACGTGAGAAGTTTCAGCAGTCTCTGTTCAGCCCTTTGGGCTCCATGTGTTTCAGTAACTATACTGTGGTCTGCAAAGATTCAGCCCTTCTGCCTTCCAGTAGCAGAGCTGGATGCCACACTTGCAGCAGGGTTTGGAATGTGGTGTTAGCTCAGCCTCTTATTCTTTCGCTGTACAACCTGGACTCTCAAACAAAGTAGAAACATGACTACACATTTAATTGGTGTGTGCAAAGCAGAGAATTGCACGCACAATGCCCACAGTGAACCCTGTGCCCTTGCTGTCCATGGTGGGCTACTGTTTCCACAGCTGACTCCCCCTCTGGACATACTGAACTGGCTTTTCACAGCCATAGCTTCTGCTTGCCCTGGAGGATGGAAGGCGCTGGATTTCACTCTGCTGTGGCTCCTGGGCATGCGATTTTGGAGAGTAGTGAGGCACCATCTCTCTGTGTCTCCCTCTGCAGATGCAGATGAATGTGAGATGTTTGGCCCTGAGATCTGCCGGAATGGGCGCTGTATGAACACGGTGCCTGGTTACAAGTGCTTCTGCAGCTTGGGCTACCTCTATGACCCTGGCCGCCTTGAATGTGTTGGTGAGACAGCCCTTCCCAACCAGGCACACTCCCACCCTGCTGCCTGGGTCTGTGCTTTCCCACTCCCTCCTTATGTGACACTAGTGCCCTTGCTGGGTGAGAAGTGACAGGGTGAGTGCCCTTGTCATGTGAAATTGGCAGGGCCTACACTGTTACAAGGAGTTGTCATCTCTTGCCTTCATTGTGAGGAAGGAGGGGCTGAGATGCTCCCTGGGTTCTTTGAATGAGAGCAAGAGGGCCTTCCCCTGGGACCCCTGCACTGTGGGAAGGTGCTTTCACTTTCTGGTTTAACGGTTGCTCTGACTTTGTGGCTGCAGATCAGGATGAATGTGAAAATGAGATATCTTGTGTGAATGGTGAATGTCTGAACACGGACGGCTCCTACCACTGCTTCTGCAGCCACCCCCTTGTGCTGGATATAACTGGCAACCGCTGTGTCAACCTGTCCAGTGTGGCAGGTGAGTATAAATATCAGGCAGGCCTGGTGCAATGTGCCACTGTGAGGGGTATGGAGGGGAGTGGACAGTGCTGCCTCCACCTATGGCCCTACAGCTTGCCCCTTGGAGAGGAGAGCATTGCATATGAAGTGCAGAGGCCAACAGGAGCTCATAGGGAGCCTGCCCGTGAATGCAAGGATGCTTGGAGACCAGGCTCAGTGCCAGACTCCAGGGAGATGTTGCCTGCAGAGTTCAATGCAGGACACAGGGGTCACTGTATGTGATGCATGTGGTGGGAGAATAGTAGTCTGGGTGGGACTTTGGGTGCAGTGGACCAAGAACAAGTACTAGGTGCAGGCTGGAACCCAGGATTTGGGGCACAGTGCCTTCCTACAAGCTGTCAGGACTCAGAATATGGTGCCCACCTGGAGGGCCTGTGGCACCCTTTGTTCATTTAATTAACAGGAGAGCTGGATGAATTTGGAGTCCACTTGGATATCTGCTGGCAGAGCGTCTCTGGCTACATGTGCAATGAGCCACTGGAAGGGCGACACACCACCTACACTGAGTGCTGCTGTGGCTATGGCGAGGCCTGGAGCCAGGACTGTGCACTGTGCCCTGACAGGGCCTCAGGTGAGAATGCACAGCCAGTGGAGGGTACAGGCTGGCTTAGAGGGTAATAGGGCCTCTGACTTCCTAACACCAGGTAGTCAAATCCAGCTGTGGCCAGCACGCATGACTAGGGGTTGCCTAGCTGTTCCTAATGGATAACTGTCTATGTCATAAATACCAGTCCAACAGCTGTCAACAAGTGGCCATCTCACTAACTGCCAAGGCCATCAGGGTTGACTTCCTTCCTCATGGGGCTCTCCTGGGATCAGGGCTGAACTGTGTTGGTGAAGATGTCTGTGAATTGGTGAGGGCAAGTCCTGTTAGCTCCTGGGACCTGGCCCAGCCCCAGTCCAGGGAGCTCTTGTGGCAGGTAGCCAGTCATTGGTCTGAGTCTGGGTTCTGCATACCTTGCAAATCCCATCATAATTCCAAAGCCCCTGGGACAAGACATGAAGAGAGCTGGGCATAAGAAAGTCATTTGTTTTTTAGAGAGCCTTTTCCTGTTGAATACTGCCAGGTCCTGTCCTGCCTTCTCTGACCAGCCCCACCCCCTCCTGTGCTCAAGCACCCGCTTTCCAGTCTCAGTGCATCCCCAGTCATTCCCTCTCCTTTTGTGCCATGGTGACAAACTTGCCCTTTCCCTCCCTCTTCACTTCCAGAGGACTTTGCTTTTCTGTGTCATGGGGACAGGCAAGAAACTGAGAGTGAGGCAGGACTCCGAGAAAGACCCGGCTACGAGTATGGACCAGGTGTAGAGGACCCTCATTTTGGACTTTCTAGTCCGGACTTAGGGTCCTTTTACAATTACATTGGTTCTGAGTACAGAGCCCCTGACACTGGCCTCCCCCAAAGAGAGCCAAGCAGTGATTTTCAGGACCGTGTACTTCAGCTCCATCCAGAACAGCCCCCACCCCGCTACCTGCCTGGGGAAACAGGTGAGTACTGGCAAAGACAAGGAGATGTCCTCCAATCTAGCCTGTGTTTGGAGGGAGTTCCTGGCAGCTTCTTCCTTACCCAAAGTGTTCTTGAATCAGACTGTTCCACTCTCCTAATGCCAGTCTGAGTAGCACTCCATCCACCTTCTCCAGATCAGTGTCCTTCTCATCTTCTGCCCGTGGCCCCGTCACGCATTACCCTCCTTCCTCTTGATCTGCTCTGGCATTGCCCTTTTTGGCAGACAGCCCCTTTCCAGAGTGTGTTCCCCTCAGGCTGACTTCCTCTCTGTATTCCCAGAGTATTATAACAGCTTTGAAGGGCTCCGGGCAGAGGAGTGTGGGATCCTGAATGGCTGCGACAATGGGCGCTGCGTGCGTGTGCGTGAGGGCTACACCTGCGACTGCTTTGACGGCTTCCACTTGGACATGACTCACATGGCTTGTGTGGGTAAGCAGCCTCAGGAGGCAAGAGGGACTAGACTATAGGAAGGATTGCTGGTGCCATGCTGCTGGCCTTCCTCAGTTGCTGTGGTACTGATTTTGAGCAGTGCTGAGCTCCTGCAATGCCCATCCACTTC